ATGGGAATATGCAGCACTCAGGATGTTTGCACTATTTACTTTGAACATCTGATTCAGATAAAACTCAAAGCACAGTTAGAAGCCTAAAATCCCTGTATGATCACAGAGAGTAGGCAATCTAGAGCCTCAAAACTCTGTACTTTCAGTAGTCAAATGAATAACTGTGACTGAATATTTTTATGTGTAAATATCTTGCATTCAGTCCTTACATTCACCCTATGCATGAAGACATTTATCCTTTGAAGAGTCTAGTATTAGTGGAGATTTCTCAGAACTGAGAGTTCTGTCTAAGCAGATCTGACTGACTGTGGTAGTTTACATTGTGCTTAAATCAAAAGATCTATAGTTGTATGCAATTTTTGTAGTATTTAGCCAAACAGTTTTGCATCTTTTACTTGTTCTTAGGTGCTTAAATATTTTCCTCTCAAATTTTTCCTCACAAACTAAGAATTTCCCTTTCTGGGAAAGGATTTTCTTTTTTTTTTGGCATGGAGAAGGAAGAAATACTTGGTTTAGTTATCTTCATTTAGTGACCTTAATTTCTTTATTCTCATCTAAATTACTATGACTAAATCATCCATATCACACAGGGATATATCTAAAATGTGTATATATAGAACTGATTATGTGGTTTCTTACTTTTTAGGTGTGTGTATGTATCCTGTTTACATCAGGGGAAAAGAACAGCCTTCCTTTTATGTTCTCCCAGATTAACCAACATGCACTTTACCATCTTCTTTATGAATCAGTGTGAGTCATATTAAAATGTTTGCAAAAAATGAGTAGATGTTTTCAGTTTGTGTTGCCTGAAGAACAGCCTAGTGTCAGGAAAGATTATCTGAAGCAGTTTGTATAAATATCTTGCATGTTTAGGAAGGAATGCACCGTCTCGGAGGATTTTGTCTTTTTCATTAAAAGTATTTGCTCTTAATTTTTTGTATATGGCTGCATTTAAAAAACCAAACAGTTATCAAGTGGTACACTTGAAAAAAATCAGTTATCAGCTCAGGGGTGTGATTCTCTAGAGCAACACTTCTACCAGCAGATGGGGCTCCTCAGCATCTTAGAAAGGGATGGTGACTAAACTGTGCCTCTAAAGACTGGAAGACTTTAACGTTTGCCTCCATGTTTTGCGTTGAAAGACCAGAATAAAGTTTATGCATGTGTTGCAAAACGTATAAGAAAACTTCATAGAGACCTGGAAGTAAGATAGAACCTCATATGGGAAGTGATACGTATTGCAGGTTAATTACCAACAGTTCTTCAAATCTGGAGCATTAATAGAAGAATATTGCATGCTACACTTTTGGAAGCTTAGATTTTAGGCTTAGGCAAGTCTTTTACCCTCTATTTTCTTAGGATTTTGAGCTTTGAAAGGGGAAGCTGGTAGTACTTCCAGCCTAGGTAGCTGGAGAAAGGGGCGGGAAACCTGGTTCAAGTACTGTTGGGAGCTCTTACTGTGGCAGTGCTGCTCTTCACTGCTACATTCTAACTGTATTATCAGTGGCTTATGTTTCTAGTTTAAGTATGTATTTTAAGGATTGTGAAACATGATTGTCTGAACTGATTAAATTTGTTTTCTTTGGATAACGCTTCTTCTCTACCTTCTGTTTGAATAGCTGCTGCCATTTTTGGTTTTGCCTACTTAAACACCGAAATAGTGTTTGTGATTTTAATATCTCACCTAGTATATTTTGCATAAATTTTGAGACTCAGCACCGTTATTAAAGGTGCCTTGTTTCCATAGTGTGGATATTCAACACTTTCTGAACATCAGAGCTTGTTTAGGTACTTCTGGTTTAGAACCCCAAATACAGAATCCAAAATCACAGGTTACCATTGAATACAGCTGTTTACCTTAGGTAGCAGGGTAGATAAAAGGTTATCTCTTGAAAGACATGTTTACCAATTGCAGAAACCACTATACATACGGCATTCACGTTGTTAGTGTCTTTTATTTGGAATTGCATAGAGCCACAGAGTTGTAAACATTTTCACTGGTTACTTATGCTGGACTTAGCTTTTTAACAATTGTTCATAACTTCAAGCCTCCCATACCATTATTCTGTATTTCCTATTTTGTCTTAAAATTAACCCAAGGTAATGTCTTTATATAATCATCTGTAAACTTTTTTAATTCTGTGTTCCTGGTTTTCTATTTAGAGCATCACAGCAGGTATTCTATTTGTTGCAAAGTACTTCTTCATTTTCAGCACTTTCACCCTCCATTGATGAACAGGATCAAGGAAGGAAAGTACTGTGATTCTTCAGTATGCAAAATATTTACTAATAGCACTTTAATGGGATGACTTGTATTGTAACACATTGTTGGAAGTTTTTCTTAAGCATTTTATTCCCTACTTGCTT